AGGCAAGCTATGTACAACATTTGTGATACGAAAAATTGAAGAAAGAAAGCACATTATAATCGTTCTGGTTTTTATACATTGTGTTCTTTATATTCCCCGTATTTCATAACAGATATAAAGGAGAGAGCCCATCAATATGCTGTTTGAGGTCCACTTGGATATACTCAATCTTTTTTTTTTTTTTTTTTCTTTTTTACACACATAGAATTAATATTGTTCTCTAATTTAACTTCCAGTGACTCGAACTCGAGATATATGATACGCTTAGCGAAATATGCATCACTGCGCTAAACCCTCTTCGTCATACTCAATCTTATGAAAGTTGTGTTTATTGCTTATGGATTTGACTAAAATTGCTGATAGATGAAAATATATATTTATACTCATAAATATTTATATTCTGATTTATGAAATTATGAAATAACATAATTTTATATATTTCAATTTTTGAAATATGACATTTTAACATGAATATGTGCATAATATTTTTTTCAAACAAATATAGTTGTGTAAAACAAAATTGGCCCCAAGCCACACACGAGAAAATACTCATGTTCATATACTTCAAATAAATTGATGCATATGAGGCTTATCTATACACTATTTTTGTGGAATATTTTAAAATAGTATAATGACTAATAATGCATATTTTGAAAGTAGTAGCTTATTGGAACGAATGTGATCAATAATACTCTTGTATCTTTTAAAATTAATTAGATTGTTGTTGGTATTTTATCTGAAAGGTAAAAAACGACACATCATGTCCATGTATCACAATTTAAATTTGATGAGAGTCATTTGTCTTAAAACTGGCAAAAGTTAAAACTTACGAAATTACTACTAAAAATTACTAAATTGATAAATATTAATTAACTATATTCTTTTTTATTTATCAAATAGATTAATTAGTAAGCTAAAGACACACCAAATGCAGTTACAAGTATTGATTTACAACCAACAAAACATACGAGAGCTTAGATAAGCTACTTTTATATGGATAAAACTTCTTCAAATTATGTATACTCCAATTTTTTTAAAGAATAAATGTAAAAATTTGTATTCTTGCGATAGTGGGATAAGGACAAATTTAGTACATTAATTTAAAAAATTTATCGAGTTGTTTAACTAATCATTAATAGTGGGATAAGGACAAATTATCATTCATGGGCCGAAAATATAGTTTGTGCATATAATTTTGAATGGCCAATTGACTAAGCAAACAAACTCCATTACGCCACAAATTCGACGAAAAGAATTTAACGATGGATCACATACTTGAAATGATGTGAGACAATACTATAATTAAAATGAAAATAGAACAACCTAAGTTATTTTAGATAAAAAATTGAAGGGACAAATGAAATCTAATTAACCTACAAATTTATGGTTATGACGTCTTGATGAAACAAATCAAACGGTGAGTCACCCGACTAAACATATACTATAAGGCAGCAAAATGTCCCCTAGATAGATAACGACGAATTTGAACTACAATTATTTTGGATGAGAAATTGAGCATGCAAACGAACTCTAATTGATATCAAATTTTGTGAGTATGACTAGTTCGATAAGAAAAATCCGATGGTAGATTACCCACCTAAATCAGATGTTATATGGTGTCGTAATTAAACCGGATAGAATTTTAGATGAAAAATTGAGTAGGTCACCCAATCGAAACGAAAATGGAACGCCTTTCAAATAAGACCGAAAAAAAAACGACGAATTTTATCCTATCACCAATGATGATTAGTATATCTTTTAAAGTAATGTACGAAGTTTGATGTATATAAAAAATGTAGGCCCAATTGCTGCAAAATAACTAGTATAATAGACTAAAAATGAATAAGGCAACATAATTAAAGGCTTAAAGCACATCCATCCATCTACTTTTTGAAAATTGCAAGCAAAAAAAAAAAA